CAAGAGAGGCGATTTCGAAATTTTCTGATCCTTCTTTGAAAAAAAGTGATATTTTTTCTGATGAGTTATACCTAGGGCTTGTTTTGTGGATTCTGGTCTCCAAAATTAGTTGATTATTATAGAGAATCAAATACTTGATTACTTCTTAAAACCATACTTTGGTGAGCAGCACCAACTATTGATTCTGAAGAAGAATTATTTTCATTGATTAAATTGTGTTGAGAGTACATGTATATATACAAAAGTCTCAATCCTAGTTATGGTAGGAGAGATATTCTAGGAAACCTATACAAGTATGGTAACAATAATAATACAATAATATTAAATATATTTTATATATTTAACATGCTCCCGGCTACGTCGGATGTGCCGGGGGTCGGATACCAGACTTTCTTTGAAGTCAAGAAATAAGAGTGAAGGCAGTCCCTTTGTGAAGATATCAGCAAACTGCGAGGATGAAGGAACATGAAGGACTTTAATCTGACCGAGTGCCACCTTATCGCGCACAAAGTGTATGTCAACCTCGACGTGCTTGGTGCGTTGATGCTGCACAGGATTTGACGAAAGGTAAACCGCACTAACATTATCACAGAAGACAAGTGTGGCGCGACGGAGTGGCTGCTGGAGCTCAAGGAGAAGATTTCGTCGGCAACATCATTCGCTACAACCCGGTATTCTGCCTCGGCGCTGGAGCGAGAAGTAGTGGCCTGGCGCTTGGACGACCATGAAACAAGATTGTCGCCTAGGAAAACACAGTAGCCCGATGTGGAACGTCTGGTATCAGGACAGCCAGTCCAATCAGCGTCTGAATAAGCCTGTAGGTAGTCGGTGGCGGATCTTGTCAAGTAAATGCCATGAGTGGCGGTGCCACTGAAATAACGGAGAACACGCTTCATGGCTGTAAAGTGGGCGTCGTGCGGGGCATGGAGATGTAGGCAGAGCTGCTGGATTGCATATGTGATGTCAGGACGAGTGAATGTGAGATACTGCAGCACGCCAACGATGGACCGATAAAGAGAGGGGTCGGACAGTGCCGTGCCAGCCGACGCAGACAGCTTCGCCTTTGTATCCACCGGGGTTGAGATGGGCCGACAAGAAATCATCCCTGCCCTCTCAAGGATGTCGTGCGTGAACTGAGTCTGGTGGAGGAAGAGGCCAGAAGCTGTGCGGTGAACATTGATCCCAAGAAAAAAATGCAGATCGCCCATATCTGTCATGGAGAATTCAGCCTTGAGCTGCTGAATGAGACTTGTAGTAGTGCTGGGGAGGATGCTGTGAGAACTATATCATCCACATAAAGTAATAAATAGGTCGTGCCCATGGGCTGAGAGAAGACAAATAGGGATGTGTCGGCCTTACATCCTCTAAACCCAATAGTCTGTATAAAGCCAGCAAACCTGTGAAACCATGAGCGTGGTGCTTGCTTGAGACCATATAGAGCCTTCTTGAGCTTGCAAACATAGTGAGAGCGAGTGGAATCCTGAAACCGAGAAGGATGACAAGTATAGACGGTCTCCTGCAGCTGGCCATGAAGGAAAGCATTTTTGACATCAAGCTGATGAATGGGCCATCCTCGAGACAGAGCGAGACTGAGGACAACACGAACAGTGGCAGGCTTGACAACGGGGCTGAAAGTCTCGTCATAATCAACACCAAAATGTTGGTTTAAACCGCGAACCACCCAGCGGGCCTTGTACCTGAATAACTCACCTGTTGGGCCAAATTTGTGTCTAAAGAGCCATTTACCGGTGATAAGGTTTTGTGAGGGGGAGGGGGGGGTACTAATTCCCATGTGTCGTTCTTTATCAAGGCATTATATTCATCACACATAGCAGCATGCCAGTTTGAATCTTTTAGTGCACTACGGTAGGTTGGGGGTAACGGGGAGATGGTGACGGAGGTGTTAAGATTGAGAATTTGTTTAGGACAAAAGACACCGGCTTTTGAGCGGGTTTGCATGGGGTGAGTGTTGGGTGCCGGGTTGGGTTGTTGGGCCGCGGTGTCCATGAGTTGGGTTGGGGGGAAGTGGGCCGAGGAGGGCTATGAGG